TCTGCAAGCGAACGAGATGACTGCAAGCGAACCCAACTCCCGTCATCAGTTATCACGCGCGGAAGAACTTTATCAGTGTTCTGATGAGTGCTCTGAAAACGGAGTCCACAGCTAGCCTGGAGCTGAGAGGCGAAAGACAGTGGCTCCCTCATCCCTGGTGATGCGACGTTTTGAAGAGGGGTGGCGGGGTCCGTGCGGCTGGCGGGCAGTGAGTCAGCCAAGTTTAATTTGCACGTCTGATCTATGAACAAACCTCCCTCCAGGCCCCCCAGAACAACAGAATAACAGAACACAACAAACCCTCCAGGCATGATGCATAATTTCAACGTTTTTATGTTCTGTGCTGTTTAATGTTTTTGGTACTGCGCATTTTTTCCAGGAACAAAGCCAGCAATTCCTCAACGGTACGGTACGTGCGAGATAGTAAGGTTATTTGCAGGAATAGTCTAAAAATAAAGTCTACCATGACGTGCGTAGGCCTGGTCGGCTAGGATATCATACTAGTTGTTAACAACGACAGAAACGTGAGAGTATATGGCAAAACTCCTGTGGAAAATAAAGCAAAGATTCTTTCACCGCTCCCTCGCGCAATGTTCTTGCCTAAGAAGCAATCCTGCTCATGTCACAATTTTGGCAAGAGTTCAAGGCGATCAGTTTCGCCTTATAAGTGCAGTGGCGTGCGGTGACATGGCTAGCTTGGCGAAGCGCATGGACCAGATTCCCACCGTGGGCGGTCACGGGACACGCCGAAGAACGAGGCCGCGACGCCAGAGGGGCACGCCAAAGAACGAGGCCCCGACGCCAGAGGGGCACGCTGAAGAACGAGGCCCCGACGCCAGAGGGGCACGCTGAAGGACGAGGCCCCGACGCCAGAGGGGCACGCCGGAGAACGACGCCCCGACGCCAGAGGGGTACGCCGAAGGACGAGGCCCCGACGCCAGAGGGGTACGCCGAAGGACGAGGCCCCGACGCCAGAGGGGCACGCCGAAGGACGAGGCCCCGACGCCAGAGGGGTACGCCGAAGGACGAGGCCCCGACGCCGAAGGGGCACGCCGGAGAACGACGCCCCGACGCCAGAGGGGTACGCCGAAGGACGAGGCCCCGACGCCAGAGGGGCACGCTGAAGGACGAGGGCCCCGACGCCAGAGGGACACGCCGAAGGACGAGGCCCCGACGGGTTAGTTATGCAGTAAAGGTTCGGACGGAGCCTTAAAAAAGGACACTGGTAAGTGAAGAAAACAAAGCTGCTTTAGGCCTCAGAAACAGCACTCAACGAAAACGTCTCTTCTGGACAGCACTGTCCCAGCTATGTGATGTAAGGTGAGACCCGGAAATGCGTACCCGGACCCATGGTGTGAAACAAGCCGCTGATGACGTCACAGGGACACCAGGGAGCCAAGGGCATTACAGCATAACGGGACAAGTGCAGCGGTCTAAACAAAATACAACCTCCAACGTGCCCCCACGTCCCAGAAATACAACCTCCAACGTGCCCCCACGCCCCAGAACTACCACCTCCAACGTGCCCCCACGTCCCAGAAATACAACCTCCAACGTGCCTCCACGTCCCAGAAATACAACCTCCAACGTGCACCCACACCCCAGAAATACAACCTCCAACGTGCCCCCACGTCCCAGAAATACAACCTCTAACGTGCCTTCACGTCCCGGAAATACAACCTCCAACGTGCCCCCACACCCCAGAAATACAACCTCCAACGTGCCTTCACGTCCCGGAAATACAACCTCCAACGTGCCTTCACGTCCCAGAAATACAACCTCCAACGTGCCCCCACACCCCAGAAATACAACCTCCAACGTGCCCCCACGTCCCAGAAATACAACCTCCAACGTGCCTTCACGTCCCGAAAATACAACCTCCAACGTGCCCCCACACCCCAGAAATACAACCTCCAACGTGCCTTCACGTCCCAGAAATACAACCTCCAACGTGCCTTCACGTCCCAGAAATACAACCTCCAACGTGCCCCCACACCCCAGAAATACAACCTCCAACGTGCCCCCCCGCCCGATAAGTACAACCTCCAACGTGCCACCACGCCCCAGAAACCTGCAAAGTAGGGTCGAAAAAACTTTAAAAATCCAAATGATGGAAAGGGGCCTGTAGATCACACAAAGAAGCTCAATCATCAAAGCATATCATCAACACCATACTATGGGCCATACCAAGTTCTTACATTAGTCCTAGCGCTCTCACTCTGCATTAGAAACCGCAGTACTTGATTGCCTGGGATGGTAAGACATGACTCATCCTTCGCATCAATAATGATTCAACCGGCATGACATATTTTTGCCGTATAGGCCCCCCGCCCTGATTACTTGGTACCTCTGATCCGACATGTCCCTCACCCCTCCTTCCCTGGGGATATTTTAGCCAGGCCACGGACGTCCCGAGAGACGGAAGTCTGTTCCACAATAGCAAGAGCTGTGGAAAAGTTTGTTTGCCAGGTTCCAACAATCGATATCGTTCGGATGCTGTGCCACGTGCGCGTCTTCAGAGAGTGAAGACATAAGTCGGCAAAATTAGAAAAAGGAGGTCCAGGGTGCTCCAAACTCCGATTGGATTGATCGCGTTTCCAGAAACATCTCGGTTACCACGCCTGTGACTGTGCAAATAGCCTGAAGATGGTCTTCGAGGTAAGAACAGAACCATTTTCGATTGCTAGACAGGGTCTGGGGTCAAGGAGTGCTTCTCGCGTCCTTCACCTCACACTCATGCGACCAGCTCTTCCGGCTGCACAGCCAGCAAGCGCGAGAACCCACCACAACGCTGGCTTGTCTTTAGTTCTGCATTCCACTCCCCGCTCGCCAGCTGCTCAATCTCGCATAGGCTCAGGCGCTAGCAGCAAGAGGGGCTGCGTTCAATGGGGCTCAGAAGTGGATACCGTGCGATCGATTCAGTTCGGCCACATCAAATTATCAGACTGAGTCAGAGCGGGCCATTGAGACGGAACTGCTGGTACAGCTGGACGGTGGAGCCCGGCTGGACTGGTGTGGTCTGAGAGGAGAGCCCGGCTGGAATGGTGTGGTCTGAGGGGAGAGCCTGGCTGGAATGGTGTGGTCTGAAGGGAGAGCCCGGCTGGAATGGTGTGGTCTGAGGGGAGAGCCCGGCTGGACTGGTGTGGTCTGAGGGGAAAACTGGCCATGACGTGCATGTGCTGGTTGTATCATTAGTCGCTCATGTTTTATAAGATCGTATATGTATCGCTGGCGTTGCGTCCCATTTGCAAGTGTTACGTGTTCTGTGTTTATTTATGTGATATGTACCGACGGGGCGCTTGAATAGCCACTCACTAGATTTCGCCAAGTTTCGCAATACTAATAATAATAATAAGAATAATAATATAATATAATCAGAATAATAATATAATGTAATAAGAATAATAATATAATATAATAAAAATAATAATATAATAATCATAATAATAAACCCCGGCTGGGCTGGTGGTTGCTGGAGATATGACGCTGGAGTTTAGGCATCTGGGAGAAGGCCCGCCGCCTGCTGCCGCAGGCGGAGGGGCCCCGTCGAACTGTATGCTCCTGTCTGGAGTCTGCTGGCGGCCGGGCGGCCCCTGTTGCGCCAGCCCCCGTCGCCCGTCCGGAGGATTCCTCACGGCTCATCAGCGTCTGCTGGGCGTGACGGCGGCATGTCCGCTGGCCGCCATCAGCGGCTCATTGGGACGGCCGCTGGACACGGTCCGCGGCCGAGTGGCGCCGGCGCCGCCGCCGGCGGTCCCGGCCCGACCCGCCGCCGCCGGCGGTCCCGGCCGTCCGCCGCCGCCGCCGCCGCCGGCGGTCCGATGCATTCCTCCCGTGCTGATCATTCATTAGATTCTAGATGGTCTAGGCGATCACTTTTTGAAGGGAGAGCTTACACTATTTGTGACTGAAGAGAAGTATATGCGGTTGTCTATAGACAGGTTGTTGTGTGACACGGGAGGAACCACTGCCGTGTTCACATAAGACGGGTTGTTGTGTGGCACGGGAGGAACCACTGCCGTGTTCACATAAGACGGGTTGTTGTGTGACACGGGACGAACCACTGCCGTGCTCACATAAGACGGGATGTTTTGTGGCACGGGAGGAACCACTGCCGTGTTCACATAAGACGGGTTGTTGTGTGACACGGGACGAACCACTGCCGTGCTCACATAAGACGGGATGTTTTGTGGCACGGGAGGAACCACTACCGTGCTCACATAATACGGGTTGTTTTGTGGTACGGGAGGAACCACTGCCGTGCTCACATAAAACGTGTTGTTTTGTGACACGGGAGGAACCACTGCTGTGCTCACATAAAACGGGTTGTTTTGTGGCACGGGAGGAACCACTGCCGTGTTCACATAAGACGGGATGTTTTGTGGCACGGGAGGAACCACTACCGTGCTCACATAATACGGGTTGTTTTGTGGTACGGGAGGAACCACTGCCGTGCTCACATAAAACGTGTTGTTTTGTGACACGGGAGGAACCACTGCTGTGCTCACATAAAACGGGTTGTTTTGTGGCACGGGAGGAACCACTGCCGTGTTCACATAAGACGGGATGTTTTGTGGCACGGGAGGAGCCACTGCCGTGCTCACATAAGACGGGTTGTTGTGTGGCACGGGAGGAACCACTGCCGTGCTCACATAAAACGGGTTGTTTTGTGGTACGGGAGGAACCACTGCCGTGCTCACATAAGACGGGTTGTTTTGTGGCACGGGAGGAACCACTGCCGTGCTCACATAAGCGCAATGGCGCGGCCATGGCTGGAGCCCGGACCCTTGACGTGTGAGCCCGAGCTCCAGACCACTCCCCCGTTCCCTCAGTGCCGCGCATGAGGTCAGCGGTGCTGGCTGGAGCGATGCCGGCCGGCCGCCGCGCCTGCTGTCCAGTGACCGCGTGTCCGGCGTGTGTCCCCAGGTACACGGTGAAGCGGCGCCGGCCGGCCGCCGCGCCTACCGCCCAGTGACCGCGTGTCCGGCGTGTGTCCCCAGGTACACGGTGAAGCGGCGCCCGGGCCGCATCTCGCACCTGCTGCCGCACAGTATCGCCCTGGAGACGCTCAGCCACACGCAGACGGCCGAGGAGATCCTGGCCGACTCGGAGGGCGACGCCCACAGCCTCGGCAAGCGCGTCTCGGTGTAGCGACGCCGCGCGGACCCGGCGCCGCTCGTCACGCGTGGTGCAGCCCCGGACGGCCGCGCCGCTGGGCAGCGCCAGCGTCGGCACGCGTGTGTGGACGTACAGTGGCGCAACGGTCCACGCTACCAGTGATACAGCAACTCAAGTGATACCCATGTCGGCTCAAGGAGAGGCAGCGAGGGCGGCTCGGTGGCGGCGGCGGCGGTGGTGCTAGCGCCGCTCGGTCGGCGCGTCCAGTTTGGCCGCGCGCCGCGCATTGTTGTGGACCGGCCTGGCTTTCGTCGCCGGCACAGCGGCCCGGATCGATTCCGAGCCTCTGAATGAGAGGGCGAGAGTGAGAGAGAGTGAGAGAGAAAGAGTGGGCGCACACTAGCGGGCACGGGCAGGGCGGCAGCAGAGGGAGAGAACGGCACGCCCGAGGTGGCGAGGCCTGGCGGCAAATGAAACAGTAAATGAAAAAGGATGATAGGGGAAGAGAAAATAATGCCGATATACGATGCGTTGCGAATCTGGGTAGGACTCAACGGCTGCATGCGGGCGCGAGTTATGCGGATGGGAGCTCGGTGAGTCTTGAAAGCATGGCCACGTCAAATTTACGTGTTGGGTCACGCATGGCCGTCGCGAGGCCTGGCGCTAGCTCGAAGGGCTGAGCGCAAAAATTCAGCACCGAATCAGTTTTTCGGCTATGTAGTAGCATGCGACTAAATCGAGCATGTAAGGATGGTTTCGCAACTGTATCGTTTTGTATGAGGGCCAGAATGACACTGATGCGCGGGAGCTTTATCAGTTATTCATCATTCGCACGTTAGTAGAAATTCGACGGAACTATAGTTGCCACGTCTCCACACTGCCCTTCCTTGCCTTTTCTCCAGCCCACGTACTCTAAAAATGCAAGTGAGGAGATAGAATAGTGTAGGTAACACGAAGTTGATGCTACTTCAGATACGAGCTTTTTTATTGCAGGCATTTAGATGAGTTATCTAAAAGATGACGAGTTACTGAAAAACCGAGTCGGATTATTCATCTCACGCCTGTATTTCATTTCACAGTGGCCTTCGTTCATTATGAAAGTGGCTCACCCTTGTGACATGTAACGCTCAAACGTGATGGCTGTACGGTCAGCGTGCGCAGAGAAGTGCGTTGTCAACAATTTTTGCATTTTACTTACCGTGCGATTCGTTTTTATGTGCGCTTTATCAGGGTACATTTTTATTTTATCGATATCTTTACAGCCAACTTTAAGTTCGGGAAAGTCATATACCACGTCCGCTAACGTAAGCACAACCCGCATGTTTGCACGATCACATGATAAGCGCGCCTACACGCAAAGTTCTCAAAACCAAACGTCGAAAGGAACCGTGCCCCCTGTTGAGTTCATGCTACGAACCGCCTTCCAGCTATGGGCTTTACACCCATGCGGATATGCGGCGAGTAAAAATGCCTTTGCAACTGCAAAATAACAAAATTTCGCCGGCGGGATGGAAGTGGGCCAGACACTTGGGAGCGTGGGTCGAATTTGGCGACACGTAACTCGATCTCGGGCTCGGCGGGGCCCCGGAGGTGGCGAGCGAGATTGGCCAGCCCGGCCTCCGGACGAGCGGCCCGGAGGAGGCCCGCCTGGCACGGCCTCTGGCGCCGGTCTAGTGTGCCGCCAATCGACCGACGGCCGACCCCCAACTCCTCTGTACAGTGCACCTCACATCACGCGGGAGAGAGAGATGGTGAGCGAGAGAGAGAGAGAGAGGGAGAGCGTGAGCGGGAGAGAGTCGTTTATCATCGCATGAGCTACTTTCTCCTATTGGATCGGTGTCGGACGCCATCAATATCTGGCCTGCGTCATGTTGTGACCACTGACGGCCGTGCTAGTTCGGAAGCAAAGCTTGCCAAAGCGCAGATCAAAACTTCCCGTCTCGCGTTGCTGTGCGGCCCGCACGGCTGGAGGCGTCTCGCGTTGCTGTGCGACCTGCACGGCCCGGGACGTCTCGCGTTGCTGTGCGGCTCGCACGGCTCGGGGCGTCTTGCGTTGCTGTGCGGCCTGCACGGCTCGCGGCGTCTCGCGTTGCTGTGCGACCTGCACGGCCCGGGACGTCTCGCGTTGCTGTGCGGCCTGCACGGCTCGGGGCGTCCTGTGTTGCTGTGCGGCCCGCACGGCTCGGAACGTCTCGTGTTGCTGTGCGGCTTGCACGGCTCGAGGTGTCTCGCGTTGCTGTGCGACCTGCACGGCTCGGGACGTCTCGTGTTGCTGTGCGGCCTGCACGGCTCGGGGCGTCTCGCGTTGCTGTGCGACCTGCACGGCTCGGGGCGTCTCGCGTTGCTGTGCGGCTTACACGGCTCGGGGCGTCTTGCGCGCTTGCCACTGCGGGGCAGGGCTCATTCTGACGAAATCCTGTGGTAGCGCCGAGTGTTCTGAACACTCCGGATCAAGCCACGACGCACGGCATGGCGCGTAGTTGCGGATGAGCGGGGTCGGTCATCTTTACCTGGTACACTAGCGTCCAAATGTTGTTATCATCGAATACTTTGACTGTCGTTCGGTCACGAAGGTGAGTACCGCACCAGCTGCTCGCGGTATTACGTTACGGCGGCGGATGGCAGGAGGCCGCGGGTGCGACCGGCGGGTCGACCTCCTGGTGCGAGCCGGTTGCGACCGGCGGGTTGACATCCTGGTGCGAGCCGGGTGTGATCGGCGAGCCGACCTCCTGATGCGAGCCGGGTGCGACCGGCGGACCGACCTCCTGATGCGAGCCGGGTATAACCGGCGGGTCGACCTCCTGGTGCGAGCCGGACCCCGCCATGTTTAGGGGCGCATGGAGGTCGGCGCCTGGTTTGGTCTGGTCTGGTCTGACTCCGGTCCAGGTCGGCGATGAATGATCTTCTCTTATTACCAATTGTTATCGCCACATTAATTGTTTGTAATATAGTCTTCCTCACGACGAGCTCTGCCGGTGTTTGGACAGCGCAGCTTCGAGGGACGCTTGAGCTGAGTGGATGTGAACAAAGCCTGTAACATCGCGGCGTGCCAGGCACCCGTGTGAGATTGGGACGAGGGGGGATTTTTGTACCCCGGTCTTTATCAGGTAGTGGTGTGGGTTCAAATGGGCTACGGATGACACGAATGAGCTGCGGATTTTTTAAATTGAAAAAACTGCAAAAAAGTAATTTTCAGCCTTAAACCAGATCATAATCCATCTTCGAAATAATGTTCTAATGCACGGCTTCGATGGAATGAGGATAACCTTATTTGTCACCCTAGGCACAACGTGGCGGATCAACGCCCCGACACGAGTCGGGAACTTATGGTGCTCTGCTGCAGGTTCTGGAGAGCAGGTCAAGCATTGGGGAGTGAGTTGTGGCCGCGTCTCGGAGCGAAAACTCCGTATATCTTGAGCGAGCTGTTGTAGAGCGTGTGTATGCTTCCAAGTGGGAGATTATGCGTCTTTGTTGCCCTTACTATTGTCCAGTACACGCCAAGAAATCCATGCGATTAAATTCATGCAGGGCATTCACTCACCATTGATTCGAGTTGTAGCTAGAGGAATAGAGAGGTGGGCTGAACATCAGTGGGACATACCACATATACTCATGTTTTCAAGAACAATGATGTTGTTATCCATACCAAACCAGAGAACCAATAGGCCAATTCGCCAGCCTATTATATATTATGTAGTTTTGATCCAGCTGGGTTTCGCTGCTGGGGGCCATCAGCCGTGAAAATATTCCAGTGCCACTGAAGCTGTGACTGTCCAGTCATAAAAACGACATTTTGTTTCGCTAAGAAAGAGCGCCATATTGTGCCCATTTTTTGCGACATTGCTGAAGGCACTTGATGTGGTGTTTCCCACTCCTACTTTCGTTCATCTACGTCGGCGAATCAGAACAAAAATGGGCCTTTGCCTACCGCCACCAATCATAATGGATATTTTTCATGAGCATTGTTGATATGTAACGAAACGTTGACCGCGTTATATATGCATTGAGAATTGCTAATGAAGCACAACTTCGGGCTGCGTCACATTACCAACAGAAAATGCGGCTGGTGGAAGTTTATACATGTTGCTAGGTCTCGGTGCCATCGGCGTTAGACATTCAAGCGCCATGGATCTGAACAGCCTCATGCATTGGTAGATAATCTAACCTCCCCATCGGACTTGTGCCTGAATCGTCTCCGTAAAAATGAAATCGATTATGACAAAAAGTAACTGGGAGCTGAAGGATGATTCGGATCAAGTCAACTTTCCAGCTGTAATTTGAACCATTCGGAGATACATTTTGACGTTTGACTCAGAATCAGGCAAAGTAGTCTGTGAATGAAGTTTCGAGCCGGCGCGATTCGAATAAAAGTGAATGTCTTCAAGACAACGTCATATCGCAAAGCGGTCACCATTTCATAAACTAGTCATAAGGAATAACACGGTTGAGAGCAGCTCTAGCACATCTTAAAACTTTCCGCATCACAGTGCATTTTTCAGAACACGCTGTCCTGGTCCCGTTTGTGACGGTTATATTTACGTTCCCTAAGTCGCCAAGAATTCGTTCATGAATTGTACATGTATGGAGTTAATGTATTTATCGTGCTGTCATCTGTGAGGGCGCTGAATACTGCTCTTTCTCAAATCCCCCGCATCCCCCGCATGCATCATTTCTAGCAACTCATCTTGGTTAGTATCGTTAGGTCCGGCAAACCGGCGCTCCATGTATTTAAAGCCTGCCGCAATTGCCATACAACTGACGTCGAGTTGGATAACTAATACGGCCGTTTGAAACCTCAAGATATCTAGAATTTGGGATTTGTATCCATAAAACGACGAATTTCAGCCATCAGTCCATAAACTTCCCTCATTTAAGGAAATAATTAGAAACCACCAATACAACCATAAAACAGACCACATCATGTGGCTGTGGAATGCGGCGGGACCAACTAAGGTATCACTCAGGTATACGTTAGTATGAAAAAGGCTACACTGACGTCCATAAGGCAGTAGTAATATCCTTATTCCTCGGGG